AGATTGATTGATTGATTAGTGATCAACTGTCTGTTGCTTATAAGCTTTATAAATAGAGAATATTATGCATATAAAATTTCGTGTCTGTAGATACATTTTAAAGTCATTTGAGTCCAGAAGAAACCTGTCTGATTGACCGATTGATTGATTGATTGGTGATCAATTCTCTGCTGCTATTATGTTTATACATTGAATAAAGTTCGTATCTACAGCTACACTTCGAAGAATTTCAGAACAAACCTGCCTGATTGACTGACTAACTGATTGATTGATTGTATGCCTCTTAAAAGATTTTTAAATACAGGATGATATACAAAATTTCAAGAAAGTTTAGAAAAAACCTGCCTAAATGACTGTCCCAAAGAAAGCCAGCTTCCAATTTGGCCTAACTACTACTTAAGCAGCTTAGCTGATATGCCCTTTATAAGCTCCCGCACGTGGTATGCACACACAGGCGCCTTGCTAGGAGAATCCACCAAAAAGTCAAGGAACTCAAGTGAGCGTCACACAAAATGATGTGTAAACACGGCGAGCACAAGCAAAGTGTGAGAGGGGGAGAGGGAGAGTGGGAGAGGGAGAGCGAGAGCGAGACAAGAACTGGCTAGCAAATGTAATACACAGATGCCAGGCACAACAGACACTCCCCTGCCCTGCCCTGACACCACCCCCCCCCCCTCTCCCACGACGAGCTACTTATTCACAGCAGCCGCGGCATTTGCTACTTCGCGTAACTTTTGCTGAGTGCCTGGTATGTCAGCGCTCTCAGCGCGCTGTGTGTGCGTGTGTGCCTGCGAGTGTGTGTGCGAGAGTGTGTGTGTGTGTTTGGACTACAAAATTTCTTGTGAATGAAACCTCAGCCAAGCTCTCGTTCTCTCACTCTCCCGCTCTCTCGCTCTCTCGCTCGCTCGCTCCCAGGCGAGTTCAGAGAACAAGTGCTTTGGCAAAGTTGCGACTCTATTAAGTAATAGGCGCTCAGTTTTTTGGCCAGCGACTGGCACCTACACGCATTTCCGCACGTCTCTCGACTGTGCATTATTGTAAGGGGTTGGACGAGAAGGGGGAGGGGGGAGGGGGGCGGGGGGTCTGCTTGCCACCACGGGGATTTCCCCAATGATGATGACGATGAGGGCGACAACAACGCGACTTTTTTTTCTCCCAAAAACTTTGACTTTTTCTCTGCTTCTTTCACTTCTTCTGCCTCGTTTGTTTTGTGCTTTGTGTTGTTGTTGTTGCTGTTACTTTTTCTGTTATTACAATTTTCTCTTGATTTCATTTCAATAAACTAACAGAGCAACAGTAAATTGCGCCAGCAAAAAGATAATTAATCGCAAAAATGAAGAAAATGGTTGCCATCGTTATTTCAAACCTACCTACCCGCCCCGCCCCCCTCTCGTCTTCCCCCTCCTCTTGCGAGCAAGTCTCAATTATGCAGCAGCTGCTGCTGCTGCTGCTGCTGCTACATATTGAATACTTTGTTTCTATCCATGAATATCCACAGCTCAGCATTCATATTCATAAGCCACACAACACACACACACACTCACTCACACACACACACACTCGCACACCCCACTCGGCGAGCAGCGACTGCGACAGCGACGCATATATGCATTATTTATGCCACAAATCAAAAAAAAACAAATCAAATACAAATACAAATACAAATAGATATAGAAATACTTACAATAACAACAACAACAACAAAATGCATATGCAGGCATTTCTTAAGTGCAAAAAAAATAATATGAACAAAATACAAAAACAAAAGGAAAAACAAAACATTTAAAACTCAATGTCAAACGTTTTACATAAAATAATCTTTAGCTGCCAGTTCGAAACTAACTCAAATAATATTTAAAATAATGACGAGTCAGCAGCCAAAGTACACTCAAAGAAAAACTCTACACACTTAACTGTAATTATGTACGATTAATTTTTAATATACATATAATTGCTGCCTGCTCTTAAGCTTAATTTATATGAATAATATATGTATATATAAAATAGTGAAACAAAGCTCGAGTCGGGCAGAGATTAGTCCAAAGCTCGATTCAGGCTTTTATTAATGGAACACATGAGATGTTCATACACCAAATCAGCGAAAAAGTAACCAGTTTAATGGTTTTAAATGAATTCTTAAGTTAAGTTTAGTTGCAGCAAAACGTCTGCAAACGGATTTACAAGTTCTTAAAACAACAGCTCATAAAGTTAAATTAAATATTGAATTTGCTGCGGAATTATATATATATTTTATATATATATAAATAGTATAATCAAAACTTCTAACTAACAAAATGTTGAACAAACTTACTTTAATATTGTGTTACGAGTGCAAAATCTCTTGAATATATCTATGTATAAAATATGAGATATATTCTTAATCTAAGTAGCAGCTATTATATTAAGTTGATATATATTTCTATGCTCTAGACTCAAGTCAAGATATTAAGATATATATGTCTATATATATTATATATCGATATATTTTTATATCTTTATCTATATCTATATATATTTACAGAAAATATGCTAGACTAAATGCTAATTGCAACAATTTCAACAGCTTTTCCCTATCTTCTTTTAAACTTTCTACAAATGTTCTTGCTAAGCATTTCTCTCAGTGCACGCAGCGTTGCATTTGGTGGCGCGCAATCAAAGTGGAATCAAAGCCGCATTAGTTGAAATTATAGAAAAACGCAATGCAACTCCTTGAGCTAAACGAGACACGAGACAAATATTTGCCCGGCTTTTGTTTGCATTGCCATCAATTTTTTTTCGTCATTTGTTTAACTAATTTTAATGTTTTATTTGTTGTTGTTGTTGTTGTTGCTGTTGTTTTCTTCTTCTAGTGCCCATTTTCTTTGCTGGATGCGTGCGTTGCGCAATTTGACGTCATTAGCATTAAATGTTGAATTATTTTTTCAAGTCGTTGACGCAGTTAATGTCAAGACCCCAGAGTCTAGGCCTAGCCCCCTTCCCCCCCCCCCCCCCCCCTTCCCCTTTCCGCTACCCGGCACTTTCGACTGCAGCGCAGTTTCTTATACAAATAGAAAATCGGCTTTAATGTGCAATCTAATAGAAATAACAACCAATGTTGTTGTTGTTGTTGCAGTTGTTGTTGTGTTAATTCGATGTAATAGGCATGCATTTATGCACTTTTCCTATTTTGCCGTTTGTTTGTTTATTTTTTGGTCACACGCGGCGTATGCGCATTATGTAAAAATAATTCAACTCGATCGCATGCCCCTTTGGCCAACTGAACAATCGGTCCAAATGCCAAGCTACACACACACACACACACACACACATAAATATATATATATATATGTTTTGCATAGCTGCAATTGGGATACAATATACTTGGCTAGTTCTTTTTGGCATTCTTTCGTGTAATTAATTAGCCAATTAGTTAATTATAATCTATATATTAATCTATTAACTGATTAGGCGTCCGCTCAAGTAGCCATAACAATATAAATTGACCGCCATCAAGATTATAATTTTTAATTTAAGCAATTATTAGTCGCGAATCGCTAATCAAATCAATTTTTTTTAATGAACTTTGTACTAAACGAAATAGAAATGTTTCTGGCACATAAATGAGGCGCCCAAAATCTTATCAATCAAGTGAAAAGTAGATGAAGCGGCAAAAACCTGAAGAATTCTGGAGCTCAGGAAAATTCTGCTGATTAATCTGAACTCTTTTCAAGTTCAGAAATTCTATTCTTTGTTCTGTTATCACAATTTGAACTTCCTAGTTTCTCAGCTTTGATTTCTCTTAGCCCAAAATATAGAAAATGCAATCAAATATTTGCTAAAATTCCAAACATTTCCTTTTGATTGTATGTAAAATATTAGATAAATCAAATATGATATATATAGAATTTTAATACAATAAAATGTGCATATTCTGCTCTTTACTCAAATCAAGTAGAAATAAAATCCCTTCAAAATCAACTTATTTGAAGAACTTTTGATTCAGGCCTCAAATCCAAAATTCTAGACTCTTTGAATACCCTAAGAAATGTTGTGCTTCCATTGTCAACATTTTACGCTTTAGTATGCAAATGAATGAAGCATTTTTACTTAATCCAAGTCTTTATTTTCTTTATATTTTTACTTTCTGCTTTTTTTTTATATTCCTTCATTCGTAAACACAAGGCTGGAATATAGAACTAGAAGTTTCTCGTTCTGTTGTTATATTTGTTGAATTTGCATTGTGTGCAAGTGCATACTTGCATAAATTTGCATAATTCTTAAATCAAGTATTTTCTATTTAAAACAAGGCTCAGATTGCTTGAAATTTGACTGAGGAATACTTGGTATGAATTCAAGAGAGTTTAGATAGATATTTCGTGGGCATTCTTTAGATTAAATCTAACTTTACTTTACTTAAATTAAAATTTTTTTGTTTAATTCCTAAAAATTATAAATACAATCCATTAATGTGCTGCATTTTGAACTGAGAACTGTTGTATTTTTCTATTATTTGAAGTATGTAAATTCTTTTATCAGGTTTTTTCTACTTTATTTCAGACTCAGACTTATTCTTGATTCAAGAATGTTCGCACTGATTTCTATAAACTTTAAACTGAAACTAAAAGGATTTCTTTTGGTAAGTGCGCAGATAATATCATAAGAACTTTAGTATTTTCTTATATATCAAATTTGAAAATTCTTTTATCAAGAGTTTTTACCTTAATCTCAGAATCAGATAGTTTCATACTTAATTAAAGAATGTTCGGATTAAAATTTCCGAGAGCAAATTTTCTTTGTTTCTTTCCTCTTTCACTTAATCCAAGTCATTTTCTCTTATGTTAAGAACTCTTTTCTCAATTTACAACTAAAATATGAACTGAGGTACTCTCTATGGTTTCAATTAATTTTCTTAATAATTTTAGAATACTCTGTCTGATTTCTATTGACTTTCGAATTGAATTAAGTAAGTTTCTCTGCGAGTTTTATATAATATATATATATTCAATTGGAAGGCAACTCACCCGCTCCTCTTCGCGTATCATCTCAGCTATTTCCGGTTTGATTTCCATGTCATCGTGATGTCCGCCCACCGAGGAGGCGCTGTTGCCCCCAACGGCTGCGCTGCCCGGCGCAGCGGCGCCGCCAGCTGCGGCTGCGGCGAGAGAGGCGCCCAGAGCGCTGGCCATGGCCGCGTGCGAGTGGGCCAGCTGATGCTGGGCGGCCAGCTGTTGGGCGGCGGCGGCAGCCGCATGATGGTGCATGGACGAGGCGCTGGCCGGCGGCGGCGGGGCCGATGCCGATGCCGAGGCATGATGGGCCGCAGCGGCCACGGCGGCGGCCATGTGTGGCGGCAGCTGCGACTGCGACTGCGCCTGCGCAGCGCCAGCTGAGCCTTGGTTCTTGCCGGTGGGCGAGCTGAGCGCCGCGGCGGAGCCGTTGCTGTGCGCCGTGGGCGGCGGCGGCGGCGGCGCCGGAGAGCAGCTGCGATAGGTTGGATTGCCAGCCGAGGAGCCGCCCGAAGCGGCGCCGGAACTGGAGCAGGATGTGGCCGAGTTGCCGGCCGTGGAGGCGGCCGAGCTGCTGCTGCTGGACGCGCTGGAGGCACAGCTGGGCTGCTGCAGCGCTTGCGGATTGGGCGATGCGAACGGATTGCGCACAATTGTCGATGTGGTCATGGCCAGCGGCTGGGTGGGCGTGCGCGTCTGCGTCTGCGGCGACTCGGCGCGCAGTGGCAGCGGCAGCGGACTGGGCGTGGCATAGCTGCCGTCGCGGGAACGCTTGCGCTGGCGCTGATTGAGATTGAGATCCAGCGCCGAGTCGCCGGCGCGCAGCTTGGCCAGCAGCCGGGCGCGTTTGGGCGCCACATGCTCGTCATCCTCCTCGCTGGCTCTCAAAATGGCCGCAGCAGCGGCGAGCTCGTCCTCATCCTCGTCCTCGTCGTAGACGGTCATGCGCTGCTCCGGCAGCAGCGAGGCGCCCGCAATGCCCCCCGATCCCGAGGCCGAGGCCGAGCTCGAGCCGGCGCTCACCTCGGCCAGGCCGCGTATCTTGAGCGTCTCGGCGACCTTCAGCAGCGGATTGATCTGATCCTGGCACACATTGATCTCGCCCTTGTACATGAACTCGACCAGAGCCTTCAGATCGCACCAGTTGACGTCGCGCATAATGATAATCGGATGCTGGCAGGGATTATCGTAGAACAGAGCCTGAAAGTACGGCGAGCAGGCGGACAGCACCATTTTGTGCGCCTTGATGGACTGGCCCTCGCAGGCGAGCGTCACGTCCACGAAGGATTCGTTTTGCAGCAGCTCGTCGAAGACATTCGTCAGGTTCGACTGATAATTGTTCCAGCGCAGGCAGAACTGTTGATTGTCCGCCGGCGAGTTCTTGCGCTCAGCTGCCACGCCCATGCCCAGGCCAACTCCGACTGGTGCCAATTTCTGGCCCAGCTTGGGCTTCTGCTCCTGCTGCAGCATTTTGGCGCGCGTTTGTCCAAATTCAAAGAGCCCGATGGCCGCCAAATTGTGCGCGACCAGCGGCTGCGGCGAGACGGGCAGCGAGCGGGATTTCTTGGCGCTCAGCTGGACGCGCAGCTCCGGGTCCAGCGGCTCGCTGTGGCCCACCACCTCGCTGGAGGTCAGGGGGCGTGGCGGCGGCGTCAGCGGCTGTTCATGGAGCACGCTCGGCTTGTCCAGCTCCTCCACCTCCAGCTTGACGTCCAGCTGCTGTCGCTGCTCCTGCTGCTGTCGCTCCTGCTGCTGCTCCTGCTGCTCCGTGGACGACAGCTGCTCGTTTGGGGCTTCGTCCAATGTTTTGTTGACCGTCTCGTAGGGCCTTTCCCTTTCCGTATCCGTTTCCGGCTGCACTTCCGGCTGCTTTGGCAGCTCGGCATTAACCATTGTGTAGTCGCTGGGCTCGTACTGCTCGCTCTCGAGCTTCCTTTCAAAGTCCATGATGTCCTTGGTCATATCCATAGTTCTGCGGCTTTGCTTTTACTTTGACAGAGTTCCTTTTTTCTTCACAGTTCAATTCTATTTCTCAATTATTTAGCACATTTTACAGCTTTTTTTCTCTAGGCAGAGAAATTGTTTTTGTTGTTGTTTTTGTTGTTGTTTTTCAGCTGCAATAAGAGAGAGAGAAGAAAAAAGCACACAAAATGCTAATTCGTTAATTTCAGTGAAATCGCTGAACAAACGGAAATCTTACAAATCAATAAAGATAAGTAAAAGTTTCAATGCAAAAACTAGGAGAAAAAAAACTCTCACACTTTTCTCACATATTTTAATTTATTTTAATATTTGCTTTAATATATGTAGATCTCGCTAGATAAAATATATATTGTTTTTTTTTATTATAATTATTATTAAACTATTAAGTCGAACTTTTGGCTATCGAATAATCTGCGCTTCGCTTAAGAAAATACGACTTTTAAGTTAGAACCAGCAACTTTTTTTGTTCAATTGCCTCAGTGACATTTAGTGAGCTCTGCTAGCTAGTTTTATAATTTAAAAACTTTACTAAAAGTTAGATCATACTTAATTAAGAAAATGCACATATCAGATTTGAACCAGCAACTTTTCTTGCTCGGCTTCCTCAGTAACATCCCGTTGACTCATTTTTTTTAGCTGGCTCTTTTTAAGTTAATAGAAGTTAGATCTTAGACTAATATGGTCTTTGCCTAATAAAATACCTCTCTGGGCTTGAACCAGCAACTTCTTTTGTATATATTCTCTTGTTCTCTGGCATGACTCTATTAAATAAGGTCTCTCTCTCTCTATTATCTCTCTTTATCTCTATTTTTCTCCCATTATCTATCTTTCTCTCTCTTTATCTCTCTCTTGCTCTCTCTCTAGCTCACTATATCTCCTTTTCTCTCTTTCTCTTTGAATCTATTTCTCTCTCTCTCTCTATATCGCTTTCTCTGTCTATCTCTATATAAATATATCACTGTCTATTTTTCTCTGTCTCTCTCTCTTTCTCTCTCTCTCTCCTATCTCTCTTCCTTCTCCTCTCTCTTTCTTTCTCTCTCTCTCCTATCTCTCTTCCTTCTCCTCTCTCTTTCTCTCTGTATCCCTCCTCTCTCTTTTTCTTTCCCTCTTTCTATCTCTCTTTCTCCCTCTCTACCTTACTCTCTCTCTCCCTCTTTATCTCTCCTTTTCTCTCTCTGGTGCACTTTCATTTCTATTCATTTTCTGCAACTTCAGCCCCTGCTCCCCCTACTCCCACTCCCACTCCCACCTCCCCCTCATCTGTCTCTGTCTCTGCCCCTGCCCCTGCCCCCGCGCCCCTGGCAAATTATTATTTTATTAGCTAAGCGCACATTTATTTATGTTTCATTTCGGCCTAATTTATTATGGAGATTTTCCAAACAATTATTGCTCCGCACAGACATACATTATAGCCTTTGCTACATATATACATATATACATATATATATCTATAGCATTATCTGTTTTATCTGCTGTGTATGCATAAATATACAAATATATATATATATTATCTTTTCATTTCATTTGTGTTTCAGTCTGCGTCGCTTTATAAACAAGTGGAATACATTTATATTTAATTAAATATTATTATTTATGGCCGCTCAGCACATTTGCGTAATTATATTTATTTAAATAAATGCGCTCATAGTATATGCCCATACATATATTAATGTATTTATATTTATATGTGTGCATATGTATGTATGTATGTGTGTAGCTGGGCATTTAAATAAATTTATTTTGTTGCGGCTGTTGCGCTCGAGGGGGCGGCGGGGCGGGGCGCGTGAGAGTGGGGGAGGGGAGGGGGGCCGCTTGTCTAACTGCGCGTGGGAGGTCTGCAGAAATGTTTCACTTTGTCGCACAGAGAGTGTGCGTGTGTGTGTGCGTGTGTGTGTGCGAGTGTGTGTGCGAGTGTGTGGCAATGCAAACACAGTCAGCCATAAAATTAATTTATTTTTATTATTATTGTTATTGTATTTCTTTTGCTGCTTCTTTTGCGACTGCGACTCTCTTGTTTTATGTTTATTATTTCATTCCAATTAAATCTGCTGACTGAGAGTCGTCTCTCTTTCTCGATATTTCCCTACCAGAGGGTATCATACATTTCTCATCTCATGCGTAACGCAAGCTGGGAAATTAATCCGGGAAATTGGTCGAAGCACGAAATTGAGAGATCGCACTCGCGTTGAGGTGATATAAACATATATTATTTATTTAATTTAAATTTTAAATATACTTTCGCAGAAATAGTGGGTTGGCTGATATACATAATATATATATCTATATATATTTAATTTGTTTTTAGTTGAGAGAAGAAAATATATTTGTTTTTAATAAACTTTAGGGTAGAGCAACATGCACGCTTTCGCAGATCCCAAAGAGTCGCTTGTCTATAAAAAATGGGCTGAGCAGGAAATTTAAGGGATCGAACATCTGTTAAGGGGATATACCCTATATACCCTATACCCTTTCGATTTAACATTCTATTTAGCCTATTTACATATTCTTTACTTCTTTTAATCCTTTGATTGTCTCTTTTCTAACTATTCACATTCCAAAGTAATCTAGTTTCTTTAGATTATTTTAGTTTTTCCTTTCTAATAACTTTCTTCTGGACTTAAGACTTTGCTCTTGAGCTGTGAAAAGGGACATAGCCATAAATAATAATTAATAAAATAAATGAATTAATAAACAAGTTATATAAATAAATAAATAAATTAATAAACTAATAAATAAATTAATTAACTAATCAATTAATTAATAAATAATTAATAAGTAAACAAATAAATACATATATATTTCTATGCGAGGCATCCTTTGTGAGAAGTGAGTTTGATATATGTCAATATTTTGTGTTCCCCAAGATATCTCGCCCAAACTCAGCTGAAAAGAACTTCAAAACTCTTCGCACCTAACAGAAAAAAACCATCTCAAATCGAACAACTATATAGTATATATAGTATATATGCCTCTTATGGCAACAATCTGACGCAAAGAAAGCTTTTCTTTCAAATCCTTTCCAAGCCCCATTTATTTGAAGTGTATCTAAACTTCGGCTTGCCCTTCTTTCTTCTCTTCTTCTTCTTCTTATTATTATTATATTTATAATGCAGAATGCTGCCCAATTTAGCGCTCAAACAACAACAACAATTGCCATAAGAAAATATTCGCTACGCTGCGAATTGTTTTTTTTTTCTTATTATTTTATTTTATTTATTGTTGTTGCTGGCAACTTTTGCCCCTTGTTGTTGTTGTTGTTGTTGTTGTTGTTGTTGCTGATTGCTTTGCCATTATAACTTTTATTTATTGTTGTTGTTGTTGTTTTTGCGCCTTCAATTTAATGCTTCTTGGGAAAAGCAAAGCAACAACAACAACAGCAACAACAACAACAAGAAAGCAACAAACGCAATAAAATAAACAAAACTCGCAAAAATATTTATATTTATATTTTATATTTTTCTGTTGTATTTCTTTTTTATTGTTTATGTTATTTGTTGCTGTCGTTGTTGTTGTTGTTGTTGTTGTTGCTGTTGTTGCTGCTTTGGCCATTTCCTGTTTGGCATTTATTTTTTTTTTATGTTTTCAAGTTTTTCTGAAACCGAAAACTGAAAACTGAGGCCGAGCCTGGCTGCGCTTCCTTATCGTTGTTGTTGTTGTTGTTTTTTGATTAATTATTTATAATGCGCGCAGCTGTTGCGCGGCATAAAAATAAAAATTAAAATTGAAGCGCGGCAACAAAAAATAAATAAAATAAAATGAAAATGTGCACATTAAAAATAAAAAGAAAGGCAAGCCGGCTGCGGCAGCAATAACAACACACACACACACGCACACTCAACACACAACACACACACACACACACAGCACACACACAGCACACACACACTCTTGGCCACGCAGCAGTCAAAGTTGTGCTTCGTTTTTTTTTTTGTATTTATCGCTTCTTTTTTTTTTTTATTTTAATATTTATTATTTTTATTTATTTAATTTACGAGTCCTGCGAAGTTTGCACAGCACATTTGTTGTTCTTCTTCTTGTTGTTGTTGTTGTTGCTGCGCACACCTTTGTCTGTGTCTGTGTGTGTGTGTGTGTGTGTGTGTGTGTGCGCATATATAAATATATATTTTGTATTTATTTATTTACGCTTATTTATTATTTATGCAGGCAAATAATAAATTACACAAGTTGTTGCTGCCAGCCTTTTTATGGCCCTCAGCTGTGTGTGCCCCTCTGTGTGTGTGTGTGTGTGTGTGTGTGTGTGTGAGTGTTTTTTTGGCGCGCCAGCCCAAGACGCGGCAGCAACAAGGAGCTGCAAACAGGATGCGGCGCGTAAGTTTTTGCTGAGCGCCCAAAACGCAAACAACAACAAAAACACTTTTTACGAGCCAGACTGGCGCGCTCTATGCGAGTGTGTGTGTGTGTGAGAGAGAGAGGGAAGGGGGAGGGGGGGGGGAGGGGTGGCTTGTGGGCGGCGGTGTGCACACGTTATAAATTTATAAATTACAATTTCTTGGCGTAGCAGCAAAAGGAGCTGGCAAAATGTGCGCAAAGGCGCCTCGATAATTTATAGATATACAAGTATATAAATATTTACATATATATATATATATCTATAATTTATGCACATTTATTAAGATATATAAATATGTTTAATTTGCTCCACATAGATACATATATATATTTATACATATAAATGTTTTATTTATAAACCCGCATCGATTTTCATGCGGCAATTAAATGCAAGTTTACGTGACGTGTCTTACGTTGCGTTACGTTACGTTACGTTACGTTACGCTGTTATTTGCAATTATTATAATAATCATAATTATACAACATTTTTTATGGCTTAACAAATACAAATTAAACATACACAAAGCTGACTGAGTTTTCCACGTACTTTTCCAAGTTTTGCTTGACGCACATTTGTTGTTGTTTCTGTTGTTGTTGTTGTTGTTGTTTCTGTTGTTGTTGTTGTTGAGTGTTTAGTTTGTGCAGCGCGTGCAACACATTATGTTGTTTCTATTTGTATTTATTTTTAATTTCTTATTTGTTGTTGTTTGTTGTTTGTTGTTTCATTCACACACGACGACGACGGCGACGGCGACGACGACGTTTAGCGGCA